TCAGTGGCCTCCCCGTTGTCGCTCATCATTGACGCCACCCACTGTTAATCACCCCCCACCACACCTATCACCACCAACCGATGTTTAAATGCATTTATTTTTTCTCTATGTTTGTAATTTAATTTTAAGTGTAAATACAAATATATTTATTGTTGACATTTTTTTTTATTAATTCATGTCTTTAGGCACGAGCAATAACTATGCATATATATAGGAGGTGTTTGTGTGTGTTTCTGTCATAGTTATTGTTGTATTTATGGTGAGCTATTATGGCAAGAACTTCAAAACAACTCTTGTGGAAAGTATACTGTATTTCATTTGCCCAACTGTTGTTAATATGCTGATGCTGTGTGTGTGGTTTTAGTGAGCTTAATGATGTTGTAAAGCCTCTTGAAATTAGAGGATTATGCTTGAACAATTGAACACATGGAATGTAGTTATATACTGAGAAATCATTCTTCAAAGGACCCAACCATTGTAATGTTAAAAAGCAAGAAGGGGTTGGAATTATGGTCACCAGTTCATCTCAGAAAGAGAGATATTGGATGTGTCCTAGTTATAATCTGTTCTGTTCTCCCCCACCTGAAGGGCTGTGGTTAGACTTGTTAACCGATCAGATTGGGGTTGGATTGCATCCAATTCGAATTCGAATCTGATTTCAAGGCACCGATCGGATTATTATTTGGGATTCATTTTTGCAATCTACATCTAATTTCCTTAAGAATCAAAGACTTGCTCCATTCCGAATAATAAAACTAGGACTACATCTTAATTTCAATTCAATTCATAAAAACAAAACAAAAAAAAAATACTCAATTTCATTACCTATCTATACATATATATTTATAATTCGTATCAGATCATGTTCAAAATCTGAATTCGTGAAAATTTCACATGTTTGGATGATGGATCAATAACATAGTTCCACATTTGGCGGATTGCATTTGAATTTGGATAAAATTTGATCTAGCCATTGCGGATTATACACATTTGCCCTATTTTTATTGTGTCCAATCTAGTTTTATATTGCCTTGTAGATAGGACTGATAATCGAATCAAGTAATTTAGGCTCGGTTCGGGATTGACTCAGCGAGATGAGCGTGAACAATTTTTTAGATTCGTTCGAGTTCATAAAACTTGACTTATTTACATGTAAAATAGTTGAGTTACGTGGGCTTGGCTTGAGTTCAATTTATTTTGGGTTCAATTCATTTAAAAAACGAGTTAGATTTAAACAATTTTTTACACTCATTTAAATAAATAAACTCGACAAACTTGATTGAATTATCAGTGCTACCTACAAACTTAAAGCCTCAAAGTTAGTGTTTTTAGGTCCATTTGGTGAGGCCCCAAATTTTATTGGCAACATCAGAAGATTATTAATATGACTTATGAGGTACCATCTATTGCTCCACACCATTCATATGTAACACCCATAGGGCTGGGGGCTTTTTTTGGGGTTGTTTNCAAAAAATTTATCCATCGCGAAATGCACACCGTTCTGGAGTGCGACTCCTCTGCAGTTGGAGTCTAACAGCACACGGTGCTGTTAAGTAGAACGGCGCCGTTTTTGGCCAAAAATGCACTGTCCAGCACACAGCTGCAAACGACGTCGTCAAACTGTTCTTCTTGTCCTCTCTGTAATTACTAACAAAAATCCCAATTCGTAGTTTCTCTCTCTCACTTTCTCTCTCTTTTCATTCTTTTTTTTGTGCTGATCTCTCACTTTCTCTCAGCAATAACAGAAGTCCACCAAAAATGAAAGAACCCAACCTTAAAAGCCACATAGACACATAATTCAAGCTCTGATCACACCTATGAAGTGGGTACGAGGTGAGACTGTCGGACATGAAAGCTTCGGCACAGTCAATCTTCCGATACCCACAAGCCAGAGTCCTCAAATTCCACCATTGATGACCGTGAAATCTTGTGATGTTTCGCACTTTCCTCGAATCACTGCAATATCAAGCCTCAAAATATCCTTTTATTTTCTTCAAGTGGGTCAAATAGAAATAGCAAAGATAGCTAATTTTGGGTTGGTCAAGAAAGCCGGAGCTAAAAAAGAGTGTAATTTAGGGTGTGAACTGAGAGAAAAAACTTTGTATATGTCAATCGCTCAGGTGTAACATCGCAGCGAGGGCTTTGGATGCGACGATCAGTTGGTAGCAATTTGCGTTTGTCTTAAACGGTTGCAGGAAGACGATGTCGTTGTGGGTTTGGGGAAGACCTACTTGACGACGTCGTTTGCCCCACCGTTCTAAGCTCACAACACACATGCAAGGCCAGTGGGGACCCAAATTTTGAACTTGGACTTCATAATTAGGGACAATCGCACATCGCACTTCGAAAATATACACTTTTCATCTTTGGACGGAGGAATTATTTATTCTTTCTTTTGTGTTTATTAAAAGAGATAAAAAGTAATACAGATTATATTTTTATTTTTTGTGTTTGATAAAATGAAAAATATATTTTTAAATTTTTATTAAAAAAATATAAATACATATTTTATCATTAAATTTATATATAAAATTAATATATACATAATATATAATTAGTAAATATGATATTTATATAATAAAACACCTCACAAATCCGTCTATGTCAAACGCTCTTTCCCAAAATTTACTCACTCTCTCTCTCTCTTTTTTCTTTTTTCTTTTCTATCTTTGGCTACCACCACGACCACACCCCTTTATCAAACAACACCTATCCTCACAGCTCCAATCATATGGCACATGAATTGTTTGTTGACATTGGATATTTTGTTGAAAATTTTAAAATTTTTTACACTGATTTCAATTATCTTTAATACGAAATAAAAATGAGCTTGGTAAATCATGATATTAATACATGTAAAGTGCGAGTGTGTTAAAAGTTATAATTTTGGCTTTAATTTAGTACACGTTCGAGTTCAGTGCTTGATTATAAATAAATGACATATATTTTAACATATATAATTAACTTTTCATCCACTAATTTCAATTTTTTTTAATATAAAGCAAAAATGAGCTTTGTAAATCTTGATAAACGTTGATTATATCATGACTTTGGTGTGGGCTCAGTGGCCTCCCTCGTTGGCCCTGACCATAGATTGGGTGAGGCCTTAGGGCTTGAGTGGGTAGGAGATAAGGCTATCCCACATCGGATTGTCATGGGTGTATGTGTGCTTAAATGCGAGTGGTTGCGGGTCTTACTGATAAAAAAAAAAAAATCATGATGTTGATATATTTAAAGTGCGAGTATGTTAAAAGTTTCAGTTTTGACTTTAATCTAATACACGTTCGACTTCAGCACTTAATTATTTCATACTCAAATTTAGTGCTCAATTTTTTTAAAAAAAATTATACCGTGCCTTCAAGTACGGGTTATCTCTAATATATGTATATATCAAATGATATATAGACAAATAACATATATTTTAACATACATAATTAATTTTTCATCCACTTTTCCTCTCAATTTTAAAGGGATTAATTTTGCTAAGTTAGAAAGATAGTTAATCAATTTACTTTTTCATTCTTTTTATTTTTCTTCCTTACCAAACATAATGTTTTATCTATCTCTCAAACTTTTCATCCTTTTAATTTTTTATCATTTCATTTTTTCATTGTACCAAACGAAGCTTTAGAGAATAATGTAAAAAAATTTAATCTTTTAATATATAAAATAATTTTTTTTAAATCTTTTATGAAGTGCAAGTTACCCTAATAACTAACCCCTTAGACATTCACATTCAAACTAATCCAGAAACATTATATATTTCAACCTGTGAAATGATACATCACAGTGGAATTTTTTTTTTGTCAGAAAACCACAGTGGAATTTGAGGATATGCATTTTCTAACACATTCCAAGTATTCTTCCTTTACCCTGACAAATTAAGGGTCAAGAGAGGACAAAACATATGGTTGCTGACCAAAAAATTTCCTTTACACCCTTATGATATCCAAGTCAAGTGGTTAATTAGGCGTGTGAGCCCAATAATCGTCAAAGATGGGTAGGTTGGACTACAAATGAAAACAACATCTTTCTTTTTTTTGACCAAATTATCTTCTTTTTTTTTTAAGTTTATCGTTGTTTTACTTGAAAAATTACAATTATGACTTTAAAAGGGTCTTTCTGCAAACATTCTTTTAAATAGAAAAGTATAGGTTTGAATCGTCGTTTTATACAAACCGTGATAAATTAAAAAAAAAATTAGGACGTAAAACGATAACAAAGTTAAGAAAAAGAATTGATTCTAACCCTGAGTGACTGTCAGACATTTCTAGTGCATGTATTTCCAATTAATTTTTTTTTTTTAGTTCAACGGTTTAGAATGTCTGGGCTAGTATTTCGACTAATCTCTTTTCCGATCTGGTCAAAGGCGAAATATCTACGTCAGAACTAGAGTATTTATAAAAAACAAATTAATCTATGAAATTTATTTTCAATTAATTCAAGGGGCTTACTAATTCAACACATTTTTGGAATGCGCTCATTAGCAGGCGGTCAAATTAATTAGGAGCAAATTGCAAACCCTCATTTCTTGAGTTCGAATCATAGTGTAATTTGTGACTGAATTGCTTGCATTTAAGGATTACAACACAACCTATGAAGGTTGATATGACCATGCATTGATTGAACGACTTTCACATACTTAAATTCTAATCATCCCTAACACATTTAATTTTTTTTTTTTTTCAAATTGTCCACCATGTATTAATGAGAAATCACATATATACCTTGGATCCGACATGAATCCACAGCAAATAATCTATATAAAATGAAAAAAAATTGTATTTGATTCCCGAATTTTTGTCCTATTTGTACTCTGTTTTTGTTCATTTCAAACCCCACAAACAGTCCATAAACTTCCAAATTCACATGAAGACAACACATATTCCAAACAACCACCCAAACCCACGTGTAGTTTAACCTAATTAATGACATCTTGATCTATAAAAACACTACTGTATTCAATTATACGTCATTTGATTAGCTAAAACCCTCTTGTTTGTAACCCTAAAGTTAAGATCAAGTATGAGTACTCTCTCAGAAGCCTATACAGACACCCCTCTCCACCTTCAACATATTATCCCTCTAGACTTTGAATCTGTCCAAACAGTCCCTGACTCTCACTCATGGCCTCAAATCAATGATTCCCGATCTGCAGTCCACTCCGATGAAGAATTATCGATTCCGGTCATTGACTTGATGGCTCCCGACATCGTGGAACTCGTCGGAGAAGCATGCCGGACGTGGGGGATGTTTCAAGTCACCGGCCACGGCGTTCCTTCAAGCCTTTTGGAGGATGTTGAGGCTGAAGTACGGCGGCTTTTTGAGCTCCCCGCCGGGCAGAAGGTAAAGGCGTTGCGTTCGCCCAATGGCGCCACCGGTTATGGTGCTGCTCGGATAACTCCGTTTTTCTCCAAGAATATGTGGCATGAAGGGTTCACCATCATGGGTTCTTCAGTTGATCATGCTAGAGAATTATGGCCACATGACTATATACGTTTTTGGTAAGTCCACAGTACTCTTCCATGCACGGAATCATGAAGCAAATTAGGGCTTCTGTTTAGGAGAATTTCTAGCAAATTTTCACTTCATATGTCTAGTTGGAAGGATATTTACTTGGAGCCAGTACTTCTCTTTTGGACTTCTCCAAGAAGATGGTGCTTGGTTCTTTTATCTAAATTCACCTAAATGTTAAAATTATTTAAAAGTTTTCAGCTACATAATGAATTTGCATACCTAGATCAATTTCTTTAACACATAATTGATTCAAACTCCTTTCAAGAAGGGCACAGTCTTGAGCATTTCCAATATTTTTTTCAAATATATCGTGTAGAGTGATAACAAAAATGATAACTAAATACATGAGATTATCTCCGCTATCAGATCTGAGAAGTTTAGATGTTCTAGATTTTATCCCTGGTACGGAGAGAATATAACATGACTTGACCCACTATGTAAATGCAATGGTAGAGAAAATTTACTGTAGCACCAAGACCCACCCAAATCACAATATAAAACAAGCCTAGTTCAGAATGATAATTTCAATTTGCTGGGTAAAAGTTAATCTGTACCAAATACCATAAATTGGAAGCCTTTCTGAAATGTAAACATTTCAAAATTTGTATGCTTCTTCTCTTGAGCATCAATATAAGTGTCAAACTTCATAAAATTTTAAAAGAAAATTTACCCAACAAAATCTATTGACTCATAAAATCCTACATCTTTGTATTTTCAATGCATACAGTGATGCAATGGATGATTATCAGAAGAAGATGAAAGCACTATCACACCAACTCTGGCTTCTAATCCTCAAATCCTTGGACATAGCCGAACAACAAATAAACTGGGCATCTTCACTCTACGACTCCGACGGTGCACTGCAACTTAACTCCTACCCTTGCTGCCCAGACCCGAATCGAGCCATCGGCCTAGCCCCTCACACGGACACACTGATCCTCACAATCCTCCACCAGAGCGACAGCAACGGCCTCCAAATCTTCCGAGACGGAGTCGGGTGGGTTTCGGTTTCTCCTCTCGCCGGTGCACTTGTAGTTAACGCCGGCGATCTTCTTCATATCATGTCGAATGCTCAGTTTTCCACGGCTTATCATCGGGTGGTGGTGAACGAGGCCCGCCACCGTTTGTCGATTGCCTACTTCTATGGCCCCCCGGCCGATTCCTTGGTGGTGCCGGTTTGTGAAATGGAGTTTCCACTGTATCGTTCTTTGACAGTGAAAGAGTACATAAGTATCAAGGCCAAGCATCTTGACAAGGCACTTTCATTGATTCGATTATAGCCTGTTCTATTAGTGTACAAGGTGAACATCTTGTCCACTGTGGAGTATTTGACTCACCTTAACTTGCATGTTGTGGCAATTTTGAAAGAGATGAGACTGACTAACGATATCCGGAGTCGTGATTTTAAAAGTTCAAAAGTTGGGGCGGTGGCTATAATTTAAGTTGCCTTTTTGAGATAATAATTATAGTATTGTTTGATAATTGATTGTTTTTTTTTTTTTTTTTATATTTGTGATCAATCCTTGAGTTTTATGATAATCCCTGAAAGTGGCAACTTAAATTCTCAAAGTGGTAACACTGAGTAATAAAATTTCGGGCACACTTTTAATCCAGTAATTATAAATGATTAGTTTATCAAATTAAATCAATAATAAGTCTAAGTATCATTGCTCTATTTATATAGTTAGACCATGTACGTGTCGTTTATAACATAATACTTATAGATTTTTTTTTTATTTTTTTAAAAAAAATTATTTTTTGGTTAAACTCAATACTTCAAAAAATATTATGAAATATATATATTGTATAAGTATATATTAGATACTTTCAAGAAAACATTACCAAAGGGTCAATTTACGAGTCAAAGCCGACCAACAAAACCCAGGCTTTAGGTCCCATATTTTAAGAAGGTCCCGAAATTTTTATGTGTATAGTTAGTCTAAATCAATTTTTTTAAATTTATAAGATTTTAGGCATTAAAAAAAGCCTTATAAAAATTTAAACTCAATCAAAAATAAATTTGATTAGTTTGAGCTCATAAACCCAACTCATAATATTAAAAATATACAAAAATAATTTTTTTTTAAAAAACGAAAGCTAAGGGTTAAAAAAATAAAGTCAACCAACACACTATTAATTTGCAAACACACACTCTCTCTCTCTCTCTCTCTCACTCACTCTCTAATAAATACAAATTCTCTTCTCTTTTTTTGTTACATTTTTTTTTTATTTCTATTACAAAAAATAAACCAAAATATTTTTTATTAAACTATAAAAATTAAAATCAATAAATTATAATTGTTTAAAATTAAAATTGATAAAATTTTCCCTAAGATTTATTATCACAATAAAGCGTAGACTACTTTTAATCTACAAATAATAATTTTTAAATAAAAATTATTAATATTAAAAATAAAAAACCTCATTTATAATAATTGTTTTAGGCCTCAAATAATCTTGGCCCTCTTACGAGTCCAATTGTTTTTGCATGCTAATCTTCTTGTACTACATCCATAGGTACATCAAGGAGTTTGAGTTGAATGAGTAAGAACGAGTTTTAATCCTATATATAATTCTTAATTGTTTATGTCTCATAATTTACTTAACAAATTGACAGCCCAAATTGTATTAGAATTTTACCCAAAGTGGTTTTTTATGATTTCACTTGGGGGTGTCAATTTTATTCATTAAAATACGAATTAGACATGAACTCGACTAGACACAGAATTGAAAAATAAAAAGATTAGTTAGCACGAGTAATAAATAGGTCAAATTAAAGTTTGACATAAATAACACGATTAACGGGTATATGTAAATAGAAAATAAGTATTAAACGAGTATTGTAGATAAAAAATAAAAATTTTATAATTTTTTAAATAATATTATATGCGTTGGGGAATTAAATTTTTTTTTACTAATATGAATATTGACACAAATCTTATATGTATTGAAAATAATTTGACACAAAAAATAATACGACAAAAATATGACACGACATGATAGGATAGGATTATTACCTTAAATTGAACTACTCCAAATTTGTATGCTGTTTTACATAAAAAATTTCTGCCACTAATACAATATTGAACTAAGGACAAATAAGAAAAGACAATGTTGACTGGACTACCTTGTTTGATTATTTAAAGTTCAATTCCATTACGTATCTGGACAAACAGATGATGTTGATAATTGTATACTTTTAAGCAACAATCAAAATGATAAGACCTTCACAACAGGCCAGCTTTGTCTCAATCTTCAGCAATACTGACCACTTGTAACTCTCCTCTCATTTGTTTTGATTCTCTTTCCCTCTCTGTCTTTGTGTGTGTGTGTGTGTGTGCGTGCATGTGAGAGAGAGAGAGAGAGAGGCTGTTTCACATGTTGAGTTACGTGCTTAAGTCGTATTAANACTTGCATGTTGTGGCAATTTTGAAAGAGATGAGACTGACTAACGATATCCGGAGTCGTGATTTTAAAAGTTCAAAAGTTGGGGCGGTGGCTATAATTTAAGTTGCCTTTTTGAGATAATAATTATAGTATTGTTTGATAATTGATTGTTTTTTTTTTTNATCAAGAAATGACGTGTGTATTCAAAATCATGCACTAAAATAATTTGGCGTAAGCATAAGCATTGAGCTTTTTATTATTATATGATAATAGAATCAAAGAGATCTATTAGTATTTATTCGGTTAGTATTAGAATATAATGATAACATCCAAGAAATTTATCACTATTTATAGAATAAGTATTAACGATGATAAACTTGTGATATTTTATCTTTATTATGTAATTTTTACCATATTTACCCTATAATAGGGTTGAGTATCATGTATTTAAGTACCATCAATAATATATCGATATAGCGCATTGGACATTTTGATCCGTGGTACGTAAGCACATTGTACATTGTGCCNTTTATATAGTTAGACCATGTACGTGTCGTTTATAACATAATACTTATAGATTTTTTTTTTATTTTTTTAAAAAAAATTATTTTTTGGTTAAACTCAATACTTCAAAAAATATTATGAAATATATATATTGTATAAGTATATATTAGATACTTTCAAGAAAACATTACCAAAGGGTCAATNTCGAACTATGTATATCTTTATGTCTTATTTTTTTTCATCTTTTTTATTTATAGTGTCAGAGCGGGACGATCCATTGTTGCTTGATGATTGACAAATCGAAACACTAGCAAAATTTCTCACTTATTTGCTAATCTGTNCCGAACTATGTATATCTTTATGTCTTATTTTTTTTCATCTTTTTTGTTTATAGTGTCAGAGCAGGACGATCCATTGTTGCTTGATGATTGACAAATCGAAACACTAGCAAAATTTCTCACTTATTTGCTAATCTGTTTGTCATTTATTCAAAANTAAAAAACAAAAGCTAAGGGTTAAAAAAATAAAGTCAACCAACACACTATTAATTTGCAAACACACTCTCTCTCTCTCTCTCTCTCACTTACTCTCTAATAAATACAAATTCTCTTCTCTTTTTTTGTTACAATTTTTTTTATTTCTATTACAAAAAATAAACCAAAATATTTTTTATTAAACTATAAAAATTAAAATCAATAAATTATAATTGTTTAAAATTAAAATTGATAAAATTTTCCCTAAGATTTATTATCACAATAAAGCGTAGACTACTTTTAATCTACAAATAATAATTTTTAAATAAAAATTATTAATATTAAAAATAAAAAACCTCATTTATAATAATTGTTTTAGGCATCAAATAATCTTGGCCCTCTTACGAGTCCAATTGTTTTTGCATGCTAATCTTCTTGTACTACATCCATAGGTACATCAAGGAGTTTGAGTTGAATGAGTAAGAACGAGTTTTAATCCTATATATAATTCTTAATTGTTTATGTCTCATAATTTACTTAACAAATTGACAGCCCAAATTGTATTAGAATTTTACCCAAAGTGGTTTTTTATGATTTCACTTGGGGGTGTCAATTTTATTCATTAAAATACGAATTAGACATGAACTCGACCAGACACAGAATTGAAAAATAAAAAGATTAGTTAGCACGAGTAATAAATAGGTCAAATTAAAGTTTGACATAAATAACACGATTAACGGGTATATGTAAATAGAAAATAAGTATTAAACGAGTATTGTAGATAAAAAATAAAAATTTTATAATTTTTTAAATAGTATTATATGCGTTGGGGAATTAATTTTTTTTTTACTAATACGAATAATACGACAAAAATATGACACGACACGACACGATATGATAGGATAGGATTATTACCTTAAATTGAACTACTCCAAATTTGTATGCTGTTTTACATAAAAAATTTCTGCCACTAATACAATATTGAACTAAGGACAAATAAGAAAAGACAATGTTGACTGGACTACCTTGTTTGATTATTTAAAGTTCAATTCCATTACGTATCTGGACAAACAGATGATGTTGATAATTGTATACTTTTAAGCAACAATCAAAATGATAAGACCTTCACAACAGGCCAGCTTTGTCTCAATCTTCAGCAATACTGACCACTTGTAACTCTCCTCTCATTTGTTTTGATTCTCTTTCCCTCTCTGTCTTTGTGTGTGTGTGTGTGTGTGAGTGCGTGCATGTGAGAGAGAGGGAGAGAGAGAGAGAGAGGCTGTTTCACATGTTGAGTTACGTGCTTAAGTCGTATTAAATCAAGAAATGACGTGTGTATTCAAAATCATGCACTAAAATAATTTGGCGTAAGCATAAGCATTGAGCTTTTTATTATTATATGATAATAGAATCAAAGAGATCTATTAGTATTTATTCGGTTAGTATTAGAATATAATGATAACATCCAAGAAATTTATCACTATTTATAGAATAAGTATTAACGATGATAAACTTGTGATATTTTATCTTTATTATGTAATTTTTACCATATTTACCCTATAATAGGGTTGAGTATCATGTATTTAAGTACCATCAATAATATATCGATATAGCGCATTGGACATTTTGATCCGTGGTACGTAAGCACATTGTACATTGTGCCGAACTATGTATATCTTTATGTCTTATTTTTTTTCATCTTTTTTGTTTATAGTGTCAGAGCAGGACGATCCATTGTTGCTTGATGATTGACAAATCGAAACACTAGCAAAATTTCTCACTTATTTGCTAATCTGTTTGTCATTTATTCAAAATCGTCAAGGACTTTTTCCCTTCACAATGTGGCATCCATTGTCCATCAAAGCTCCAAAAAGGCAATGGTAGCACCTTGAGTCGACATCGGTGAAAAGTCACATGTGAGAGAAGCTTGCAAGAAAGAAGTGCCATCTTTTCATATATGGGACGGAACACTTGCGATGGTATCATGTAATAGAGGTGGGAATACTTGGAGGACAAAGGAGTTGCAAAATCTAAATAATTTGGTAGTATGAATGGAACCTCAGACTGCG